CCATTCCAGCTACATCTCGCATACCCACCTGAGCACAGGCACACGTGCAGGCACGCACACCCACTTGACACAGCCCACACAGTCACACTAAGGCACCTTCCTGGGCCTTTTTCTCAGACCCACTCCTCTACTGCAGAGGGTGGCCAGCAGCAGCTCCTGACTGCCTCAGCTCCAGCTTCCTGCCACGGGAGGTACTGACTATGGCGAAGGGCAGAATGAAGTCTGGGAATTTCCACCTCTTCCACCACAGGCAGGCCTCTCACAGCTGCTGTGCCTCCTCAGAGGCCCCAGCTTCCCTGCCTGGGGCCCCGGTGGTGCCAGCTTCCACTGGGTGATCCTGCCTCTTCCCTCTGTCTCTGCAGCCCCAGGTGGTGGGAGGTCCTATGGGTGCTGATCTCAGTTATCTCTCACACTATCTCTTCTGGATTCCCAGTTCCTCCATCTCTTTTGTGACCAATCCCTTGCATTCAATTCCCCCTGCTCAATAGCAAGGGTGCTGCCTTCCTGGTCAGACCCTGAATGATAAAACCAGTACCATCACCAGGAATGCCCCTGGAATCGGTGGGCTGAGTATTAATACTCCTGTGTAACGGTCACTCAGCTGGGGCACGAGCCTGTAGCATCCGCCTCCAAGTTCACACCCTGCTCGACACACCCCTCACTTACGCATTGCTCTCTCAGACCTGACCTCCTATCTACCACACACAGCCAGAGGTACTGAGATGTAGGGTCACATATGAGCACACATATTCACTCTCCAGCGCAGTTACAGATGGCTCTGGGGACACACACACAGTCTCCAGCAGAGGATGGGCAAAGATTTGGCTCTGAGGAAGTCGAGAAATGAGCTGGTATCCAGGCTGGGAAGAGCTCGTGAGCATCCAAAGGTGCTGAGCATGGCTGGCTGCCTGTGTACAAACTCAAGTACACATGCTCAGATGGACATGCAGACGGACAGGTACACGCACAGCTATGCACATGCTTGCACATGTGTGATGGCACATCATGCACTCACATATGAGCACACACAGATTTGCATGCAGGATGGACATGTGCATATAGACCCACATACACACATTTGTGTACCTGGACACACAGTTCATATCAATGCAAATGCATTCGCACAGTTGCCCCACACAGACACTGAGAGCCAAGGAGACGAATGCACAATGTCATGTGCACAGTCAGGAACTCATTCCCTTACCCCAACCCAAAGCCCCCAGAAAACAATGAGGGAGAGTGAATCTAATAGAAATGGTTGAACAGGCCCTGGTCCTTCAGAAGTGCTGAAGTTTGGGGAGTAGAGCCCCGCCCACTGGAGTCCCACAGGCCTGGCCTCCATCTCCTCGGGTGAAGACTGTGGGGACTCACTCACAGGAGCCTCCAGATTCTACCTAAAGGTGTGCAGCCACAGGTGGGGGCACAGAGGGGTGGAAGTCAGAGCTGGGCCCCTAAGGATGCACACCAGGTAAGGTATGCATGGGTGCCTCACTTCCAACTGGTCTGGTTGAAGAAACCCCAGAAAGTTTCCCCCATCTCTGTGATCAGCGCCTCAGACTTTGCCACTAGCACGTCTGCTCCTCCCCAGTTAACAAAGTCCATTCCTGAGTCTCGCCCCGTGGTCCCTAAGGCAGAGTCTGTAGCTGGGCCTGGGACAGCTTCTGAAGCTGCCCTGAGGGGAGAGTCAGTGTGCTCGCCTTCCCAGACTGGGAAGAGTCAAACCTGCCACCTCAACTTGGCTGAAAGGAAAGGGAAGTCAGGCGCTGACAGCAGATCATTTGCTCCCCAGAACAATGCTCTCTCACAAAGAAGTCCTGTTCCAAATGACAAAAGCCCAGTTCAAACAAAAAGAGAAACTTGCTAGCTTGTGTTGACTTCAGGTCTGGCTGGATCCAGGTGCTCTTGACCAGGCACAGTCTGTCCATCCCTTGGTGTGTCTCTCTGCTGGCTATGCTCTCTAGAATCTTCTCCCTGTGTGGAGGTGAAGGTGGTGGGAGGAGGGGAACAGGAATCATTGATAGAGCTGGGGAGAGTGGTTCTTCAGAAAACTTGAAAAGCTATTTCTAAAAGATGGGTGGATGCAGAGTGGGCCACAGGTGTTCCCTACAAATCACAGGCACTGCTTTAGTTGTTTTGTAAAGAAGAAACTGAGGCTCAGGCCTAAGGGAATTGCTGGCCTTTCTTGGCAGCCAACAGGAGGCAGGGTCAGGATTTAAACTGAGGCCCCCAGGTCTGCAGAGTGTATGGATTTTCCTGTGTGCACCAGGCTCCCCTCCTGCCTGAATCCATTATGGGAGGAGCCAAGGCCCAGACCCCAGGCAGTTGCCGGCAGGCCTGCAGACGATGAAGAAGCTGGTGATGGTCTTTATATCTCATTCATCTCATTCATTCAGTAGTCCCTGGTCCCCAGATGACTCCCTACCTGCCTGTACCAGGGACCACAGAGGTGGCCAAGGGGAGCCCACATCAGGCTGGTCTTGAGAAGTGGGCAGGCTGTGCACACACTGTATTGCCTTTAGGTTGGAGGCCTGTGTTGGGGCTGGGTGGGCACCCGGGAGGAGGGCTCACACAGGGCTTAACCCTTGAGTAATGTGGAAGAACAGAAGTTCCCGCACAGAGCCTGGAGGAAGAGGAGGAGGACGCTACAGTCTCAGGCAGGGGCCATGAGTTCCGTAGCCAGACATGGAGGTGAGAAGTGGACAGACAGGCCAGGGGTCAGGTGTGAGTCTTATTTTCAGGACCAAGTGGAAGTTTATGAAAATCCAGCAAGATGCAGGGACAGATGTGTGGATTTGGGGGTGTGGGAAGCCTAGGCAGGGCCAAGGATACTATGGGGAGGTGGGAGAGGGGTAGGCAGGCCCAGGCAGCCAGGGACCAGAGGCAGTGGGAGACCTCCAGAAAGGGCCCTGGATTCTGCACGAGCTCCTGCAGAGCCTTACTGGCCCCTGCCCCACACCTCCCACACCTTTGGCCTTCAAACCCCTGTCAGCTCCTGGTCTGAGTCAACTATGCAGTGACGGGTGGGCAACAGTGCCATCTGATGAGGCTGCTCTGCCAGCCTCTGTCCCTGGACGCCTATGCATAGGCCCTGCCCAGGAGGAGAGGGCTGTTGCTGCTACCTGCCACTGCTACCGCCAACCTCGTTCTGGCCCTATTCCCAAAGCAGGAGGTGGCTTTGTGGAGCTCAGAGGCCAAAGAGATCTTTTCACTCCTCTCAGGCCAACTGCAATCTGACCTGACTGGCTACCAGAGAATTAAGGGACCCGGGGCTGCGGGCAGAGGATCAGGAAGTGTTTGCTCCTGGAGGCTGGCTCTCTGGCTGTGTGGGAGCCTGAGAGTGGAGCCCAAAACTGGAGCCCCATCTTGCCTGGAGGAGGAGGGGCCATTTAGAGGAAACCATGGCCCCATTGGCCACTGGACATGGGAGGCCATTTAGGGTCACAGGTCTGTTGGCTGACCTGAGTGGGCCTGGGCCGCAGGCTCCACCCAGCAGAATCATGAGCCACATAAAGCAGGTGTTGTTTTAAGCTACGAGGTCTGGGGGTGGTTTGTTACCCAGACAGAACGAGCTGGTACAGGCTCAGGCAGCGTCCAGCCCACAGGTGTCTGTGTACCTGGGAGTCCCTGTTTCCCACCCCAAGATGCATCCCTAACACCTAAACTGATGCCTGGAGAAGAGAGGGATAGCTGAAAGTTATTCCTGTGAGACCTGAAGTTGGAAAAAGTCCGGGAAGCCAAAAGCTTCTGAGGGAGTGACAACAGCATGGTGGATAAGCTGGACCTGTGACCCCTCACCCCTCCTCTTAGTAGGCCCCTCCCCAAAGGGCTCAGGCCAGGGTGCCCTGTGCATCCCACCTCTCCCTGCTGATCACACTGCATGGAGCCTCCTGTGCATTTCCACAGGCTGACCTGGGACTCCTAGAGAGGGCGTCTCCTAGAGCTGTCTGCCTGGCTGCTGGTATGCTAAGCCAATAGGACACACCCAAGCCCCAACCCACCCCTTGAGCTCTGAGTGTAAGAATCTGGGAATGAGCAGGGAAGTTTGTGCTGCCAAGCCCGAGTCGAGACTACAGGCTTTTAGCTCCAGATGGCATGGGGACTCCCCAAGGGCTCTATCAGGAAACCCAAGGTCACCAGCAGAGCAGTTAGAAGATCCCAAGCTCTATCCCAAAATTCTCCTGCTGGCATGGCACAGGCTGAGTGTGGTCAGGGCACCTTGGCTGTGGGACACGGCCAGAGGTCAAGGTTTGGAAGGCCAGTGTTTGGACACCAACAAGCAGAGCATATGCCAAACCCACTTTGTCATCTGCTCTCCTCAATCTCTGCATTCCTTATTTTAGGAGAACCCTCAACACTCAAGTCAGAGACTTCAAAGTCACCTGCATCTTCTTTACTCAGTCAGATTCAGTTCTCCAGTGAGCCCCGCTAACCCTCCCTGGGCTTGAGCTGCGCAGGGCCCCTCACACTGGTGATGTTCCCTAGTGCCGAGTCCTGTCTCACTGACACCCTCCACCTGAGAGCCAGAGCAATGTCACTCAGAGACAGTGCCAGCTCAGCCTGGCGCACTCCAGCCCTGCCACTTCTGTAGCCACGCCGCCTGCCTGCCTTGCTCACCTTTGCTCTTCTCCACTGCCTGCTGCTCTCATACCTGGGGTCCACTCTGCCGGGTCTCTGGCCTGCCCTGCCCTCGTCTGGTCACCTTCCGCCCTGGGCATAAGCAGCACTGCCCCCCCCCCCCGCCCCCGCCCAGCAGGAAGCTGACCTGCTCTCCCTCTGTGCCATCCCTAGAAAGGCCTGCTCCCACTTCCTTCTCATCCCTGCTTCTGTGGTAGCCTGCTGCTGCTGCGATGTATCTGGGGGTTCCCAGGCCATCTCCCTTGCCAGGCCAGGGACTCCCCGAGGGAAGCAGCCCGTCTTCCTCAGCCCTGCTTCACTGGTGTCCAGCAGAGGGCTGGACACAGAGTGGGCAGCAGTGATTGGCTGCCAGTGAGTCAACAACGGAAAACAAAGGCGTCTGCTTTATTTGTTTTCAGACTGTAGCGTATAGTTTGTTTCCTAAACACATGGCAGCCCCGCTCAGGGCCCAGCAGGACATGGCGGGGCACGGTGGTTGTGGCCTAGCGCTCTGTGGGCTGTGGTCCCATGATTGGTCCCTTCTTCAGGGCTCCAAGTCACTGCCAGGACAGGGAATGATGTCTGCTCCTCAGCCCTACAAAGAGAACAGGTCAGCGTTCAGTCACGGCCCACTCTGCCCATGCCCTCAGGGCTCCATGCAGACTGCCCTGGAACAGCAATCGCTTCCTGGGGAGCAGCTGTGAGTCAGTCTCCCTCCTCGCCTTGAGACCCAGCACTGAGTCTCTTCACCTCTGTGCCCCAGAGCCCAGCACAGTCCCCAGCAGTGGGAGACAGGCCCTCACTCCACACGATAGCGACACCAGCACATGCTCCCATTCCTCAACTCTCCCAGGGCTGGCTCAGAAGGCAGGAGCCCTGCCCCCGTTCAGTGTTTCTGACAAGCACCTTGAGTATAGAACAGTATAAAACTCTGCTCTCCCTCACCAAGGCATCCCCTCTGTTCTCTGATTTTTCACAGCTCAGCGGGAGTCTGCTGGGACACGGGGGCCTGCACAGTCAGGACCCTGCTATGGAGAGCCCGAAGCCCCTGCCCTTGTTTGAGACACCCTGTACATCCACACACAGGCAGGCGCCAGGCTCTGGGCCTAGGCATCACCTAGCTGCCCTAGGAGCCCCAGGGCAGATGCTAGATCCTGGGGAGAGAGGCAGTGCTGCCCCACCCTAGGTCCTTGACCATGTGGGCCCCTCCCAGAAGCAAATCCCTCTTAGGGACCCTTCACTCCCCGCTCTCTGGCTCTGCCAGCAGCCTTCTGAGGTGGAGAAAGGTGGTGAAAGTTTCTCCAGCACTCGCCACATCTCACACACAGGTGCCACCCAAGTGCCTGGGTGCTGGGGCTCCGAGGGAGTCGGGTTGAACATGCTGTCCCCAAATGCACACATGCTGCCAAGGCAGCACAAGGGATCCAGACAGGCCTCTGGCACTGCCGTTGCTTAGTCTCCAGATTTTGCTAGTCAGGTCAGGGGTAGGGCCGGGAAGGAGGGAGCCAGGCCTGGCAGTGTCCCAGAGCCTCTCTCAGGGAACACACTGGAGTTTAATGTAATCTGTCTTCCTTGGTAATCACATTTTTGCCTTGGTGCAAGGAAGATACATTGGTGAGGTGTGTTTGTTAAAGAAATACTCTTGGGGGTGTTGGGTAGGGGCTGAAAACTACCACATAGGTGGGGCCGGATGGAGAGAGGATGGAGTCTAGGGCTAGCCACTGAAGGATGGGCCCTGCCAAGAAGCCAAGAGGCTGCGGCAGATCCCTCAGTAAAGAGTTAGGTGTGTAATGAACAGGACTCAAAGCTGCCCTTGATAGGATGTGGGGAAGGATCTGGGGGTTTCACCTTGCTAATGGGTAGGGAGCTAAGTGTCTTGTCGGTGTGAAGGGCCCTGGTCCGGCCCAGCCTACCCAGTGCCCCAATGCCTCCTGCTCATGTGGAAGCAGAGCAAGCAGCCTTCCATGGTCTGAGACAGAGGAGGAGGCTGCCTGTCCTAGCCAGGGCTTCCCTCTCTTGGAAGGCTGACAGAGGCCCGGCGTCCACTCAGCCTATATGGAGCTACCTCTGGGCTGTGCTCTGGCCATGAAGGGTCAGGTGGTGCTGGATGGGGCTGTGACCAGCCCAGGGTGGAACAATCAGCTTGGCAGATGGTTGTCAGCAGGACATGGCCCAAGGAAGCTCTCACAGGCCCAGGGATGCAGGACCCCGCTCAGTTCCGTGCGAGAGATACCCGCTCAGACATGGCTGGAGAGCAGAGGGTGTCTGGCCTCAGCCTTTTCCACCTCAAGTACCTAAAGCAGCCTGTTTCTTACTCAGGCCAAAGAGGCTTTTCTGTGGAAAGACCTCATCCTATTGCTTTTCCCATACATTTTCACAAACAGGCCGCACTCCTCAGGGAGCCTAAGCCAGGTGCCCTGAGAGTGCATGACGCTCCCCAAAGTGGGAGCTGTCCTGTTGGGGTGGGGCAAGGGCGAGGTGTAACTGGAAACAGCCTGACGTTGTGGGACCTGGAAAGGGGAAGGATTTATCTAGGATAGAGAGGAGCAGCTGGGGGTGGGGGAGGAAGACAGTAGAAGCTAGCTGGGAGTGTACTGCAGGCCCACTGGAGTAGGGGGTGACCAGAGAGCACATGAGACCTGGGACCACATACAGGGAAGACCGAGCCAGCATGCTCCTCCAGACCAGTGGCAGGGTTGTGGCTGCGGGCAGCTCCTGATGGCCGCGCCGGCTCCCACTCCATTTTCAGATGGCCCATCCTTGCTGAGACCCCCACTCTGCACTTGGGCCTCCACCATGCTCCCACTCCTAAATGCTGAGGGCTAAGAAGGTCCAGCCTAACAGGGCAAACTCCACAGGGATCATCTCCCCGGGCAGATGTGCAAGGCGCTCCTGGAAGCAGGCTGGTGTGCACCAGGAGGTGACTGAGGAAAGCAAAGACCCAAGAATCCCTCCCTTGGTATATGCAGAGACCTCCAGGTGGAGCATCTGACTCTAGCAGGAATAGGCAGGCAGAGATCTCCAATGCTAGATAGAGGTACCTCCTCCACCTCCCACAGCCCCTGGAAACCTGGGAGGGAGGTGAGGCCTTACCTTGTGGGCAGTACTCACACAGCGCTGGTATGCCTTGACCAGGTCTGAGCACAGCAGCACCTCATGCAGGCGATCTCGGTAGCATTGGAGGATCTGGGCCTGCAGCCCTGAGCAGACGGGCTCCACCCTGCGCGGCCTGCAGAAGACAAAAGCAGGCAGTCCTGGGGCTCGTGTGCCAGTGGGCAGGGGAGAGAAACATTCACATTCACTCCACCTACCTGCCAGGCACTAGGCTAAGCCCCTGACACCCACCAGTATCCTTTTAACCCTCAGAGAGAAGCACTGTGCTTTCCCATTCTAGAAATGAGAGGACAGCTGCAGGTCAAGCCCTGTGGTCAGTGGCTTAGGCTCACAACACAGCAGACACTGAAACGGGCTGTGGGTCTGGGGCTTCACACTGGGCTCCTTTGCTGGGGCCTGAGCACCTCCAGGAGGCAGGAAAGTCCATGAGCTGACTCCCACTGGAGGGCCCCATGAGGATGGTGTAGCTCCTCTCCAGGACAGCCATCCTGCTATGCCTGGGACAACCTGCCTTGCTGCGCCGAGGGTAGCCGTTCCTGCTGCACCCAGGTCAGCTGCTTTCCTCTGCCTGTGGTTTACCCATGGCTGTAACCATGTAACTTATTTTTTTTGCTGATTTAAAACTAATATGTGTGAGGGAAGGAAGATGAAATCTATAGAAATGTCTAAAGAAATGAAAAATATTCTTCTTCTCACTTCTTAGAGGTAACCACAGTAATATTTTAGGGGCAATTTACTATTTTTTTCCTTTCCTTTTCAAAGTAGTTTTATAACTCACAAAAGTGAGTAAGTTCACTTTCTAAAATTATGGGAAAAAAAGAGCAAATACAGATGACACTAAAGTCAGTCAGCGGCTCAGCCTCCTGGGCGTAATTTCCGATTGGTTGGTCTCCTTCCACACACACTCAATCTCACACACTCACACACTGACACACACAGCAGCACATTTGCACACTCTGCTGGCCAGGCACACACACAATCTCACACACTCGCATACTGACACATACAGACAGCACATTTGCACACTCCCTGCTGGCCAAGCACACAAACACTCCATCTCACACACTCGCACAATGACACACAGCAGCACATTTGCGCACTCCCTGCCGGCCAGGTGCATATACACTCAATCTCACTTGCACACTGACATACACAGCAGCACATTTGTGCACGCCACTCTGGCCAGGCACATACACACTCAATCTCACACACTCATGCACCAACACAGCAGCACATTTGCACACTCCATGCTGGCCAGGCGCACACACACTCAATCTCACACACGCGCACACCGACACAGCAGCACATTCGCGCACTCCATGCTGGCCAGGTGCACACACACTCGATCTCACACATTCGCGCACTCTATGCTGGCCAGGCGCTCACACACTCGCGCACCGATACAGCAGCACATTCGCACACTCCATGCTGGCCAGGTGCTGTCCTCAGGCTGCTGCACGTGCTCAGTGCTGCTCCTCACGGCGCTGGCAGCAGATACTATCTTTCACCATGCTAGTCCCACAAAGGAGAAGCTGAGGCTCAGAGAATTAAGGCCATGCAGCTGGACAGTGGAGGAGCGGGACACACTTATTTACATGGCTTTAGTTGTATGGTTGCTGCCAATTTGTTTTCTTAAGGGAGTTTTAGGCCAGGACCCTTCCCAGCTGTAGATGGACCCACTGTAACACTTGACAGCCTTTCCAAATTCAACACCACTTAGGGCTGAGGGCACCAAAAGGAGCCGTAAAAAGGTAGAAAGCCATTTCTCAAGTTTCTTAGCAACAGAAAGGATCACTGTCACACATGCCACAGCTCGGCTCCAGGCACATGAGGGAGACGTGCAGGCCAGTTGCTCTCCCACCAGGGTCTCTGGTGCTATTAGCATCTAACAGTAACTTGAACCTGGTTCCTCAGCTAGAAACCACCAGCACAGGGTGCTCGACAGCTTGGGAACAGGACCCTGTATTTAACTGTCTCGCTCCGGAAGCCTGGGGGTGAACACTTCTATACTGCTGACTCTGTACTGCAATGCCACCCGGGCCCGGCCTTCCCTTCTCGTCCGTGCCATCCTCAGGCCACTGTCGGCAGCGCAGTCCTCTTTGCAGCAGAGGTCAAAGGCAGCAGGGAGGAACAGGCCTCTCTACAGTCTCATCTGACCAGGCGGGACAATCCTCCCGTCAAACCCCACTCCAGGCTGCTCCTCCACTCACTGTCTAGGACCAGGTCACATACCCATGCCTAACACCATTGCTACCAGGGGCAGTGAGTGTCCCATGTTCAGCTAAGGCCAGCAAGACTCATCCCCAGGGGATGAACAAAATGAGCACTCTCTAAATTAAAGATGGGGAGGGATGAGTGTGGGGTGGGAGCAGCTGCCTGTAGCTGCCATGCCAGACAGGCGCAACCCACTCAATTTCACACACTTGCACATCGAGGTAAGCATGTGAAAGGTGAGAGCTCCTTCCCATTCCTGCTGTGGGAGGCCATGGGTGGCCCAGTCCCGGCCTGGGTCCTTGAATTCCATTCTGTCCTTGCCCTTGAGGTCACAATTCTGATGCACATCTACGCTGCATGTGCCAAGCCTTTTGGTCCTCTGATTTCTTGAAGAGGACAGGGCATGGGGGGTCTTTTATCTGTATTGACCTCTCCTTCTTGCATATGCAGGGCAGACAAGCTCCTTGGATGCAGTCCTCTGCCCAGCTATGGAGACCCACTTCACTGGCCTGCGTCAGCTGCCGCATAGGCAGCTGGGGCAAGAACGCAGCTGGGGTGTCTGGGGCAAACCCCGATTTCTCTCCAGGTACTTAAGAACGGCTCCACATTTGTATTTAAGAACTGATGTGGGTGTGTCAAGTTGTTGCTTCTTCCTTGGGGGACAGCTGGCCTTGTGGCATTTCATCTCAGGCAAGTGCTCCCTGGGACTGCATGTACAGCTTCAGTTCTGTTCTGACACCTGCTTAGGAGCACCTTTAAGTCACAGGGCAGATCTTGGCTTTCCACCTCCATCACAGAGGCCCCCCTCCCTCCTATTCTGCTTGCCGGCTCTCCATCCTTGGAAAGCTGTGCTCTCCCTTCCCCTGGCAGGGTTAAATCTGTAGGGCAGTGGGTGCCTTCAGTGGCATTGCCAGTCTCCCTGGGGTCTGCTATCTCCTCATACCAGCCTCTTACTGTGTCATCTGCTCCTCCTCACCGTGCTAACCCTCTAGAGTCTGACACCCCAGAGCACGACTTCCATCACAGCCTCTGCTGCACTCCCCTGAAGTAGGACTCCGCCCTGCCCTCATGGGGCCCTGGTGAGCCTGGTTCATAGCTGCATCATGGAGGTCAGCAGGCACTAAGGGGACCTGTGTGTCATGGTGAGTGGCTCAGAGGGAGCCCCAGGCTCAGTAAAGGCAGAGCTGCCCTAAGCTGTAACTCTGTAAGGCTTACTGATCTGTATGAAGAGAGGTGCTAGGGACAGGTCGGGCAGAGGCTAAGTGGCCCGCTGAGTCATGCGGCGGAGCCTCATGAAGCTGGAGTGCTGACCTGCCACGCCCTGCCCTCTATAGAGGCACAACACAGACACTGACACTGGCTTTGCAGGATGGTAATTCGCAGGAAGACACAGCCACATTTTCCTCTCTCCCCATGGCCAGCCTGACTGTGTCCCCTCCTCATTAGTTTCTCCTCCTTTGGTTTCAGGTACCAGGACAAGGGCTTCTGCGTTTTGAGGGCAAAACTCCCAGTGGGCTCCCAGTTCAGGAGAAACTGGGCCGTGGTGAAATCTATCCCCTCCTTGCCAATATCGCCTCTGGGACTGTGGTGGCCTCTCTCTGCCGGGACTTATCACAACAATATGAGGAGACAGAATGGGAGGCAAATGTCAACTGGAAGAAATTTCACCCATTTGTCCACAAAAAGGCTCTGAATGGGATAAGACACGAGAGCATAGCTCTGGAAATGAAAAGCTTTCTCTGAAGCAAGGCAGGGCTAGGCCTTGGGTGAAGCCATTCACAAAAGTAGGTACACTCTATTCACCCTGAACCCCGCCCAGCCCCGGCATACTGCGACCCTGTTTACAATACATACAAAACAGCTCCCATGCCCAGAAATGTCCAGTCTTGCCAACAGCTGCTCTTCATATGCACAGATAAAGGTATCCAAAGTGAGACACGAAGTTGCCAAGGATAGAATTAAGTCCTGTACCCTTGTTTGAGGACATTACTTGGAGGATGAAGATCTAATGGTCATGTGGCTTCGAAGGGGTTCACACCACCTGCATTGGTGTATAGGGTGTCCATTTTCACAGGCATCAAAGGCAATGCCCAGGAAGTCAACTCGTCTCACTGGCTCTTATGTTCCTCATTGGTACAATGGGAATGGTAACACTGCTTACCCCAGAGATGAACAGAAGTGTGTGCTATGAAGTGCAGCTCTCATTGCAAACTAGCCATCAGTGTAAGAAACTGAGGTGGGGCCAGGGCCCCGGGTGGGGTGCGCTTGCAGAAAGGCTGGGTTACTGGAGGCCCTTGGCAGAGAAGAACTGAGGATATGCTGGGATGGTGGAACTGCAGACGTACGGCTTGGAGGGTGGGACCTTACTTAAGGGGTCCCTCCCTCTACATTGACACCTAGTTCAGACCTCCTCCAGCTGTGGTGGTGCCTCCTCCTCCAGCATGTTAAGGCACTAGCGTATGTGCATAATCATGGTGTCCCTTCAACAAGCAGCTGGCAGATGCCTGAGGCTTGGGCTCTTGGTCTAGTGAAAAGAACACAGGTTCTGGGGTCAGACAAACCTGGGGAAAGGCACTAGCTTTGTCACTTTGTCACTTTCCACTGTGTGGCTGGTGCATCAGGTGTGGAAGGAGGAACCCACCCCACAGAGCTGTTGAGAGATCCGCAGGTGATGCCCAAGACAGCCTGGCCAGAACGTGCTCAGCACCGCAGTGTGGTTCTGAAGGAATCATCAGTGATGAGTAAATAGGACCACAGAGGACCCCACATCCAGCCTGAGAGTGTGATGGCCAAAGACAGGGCACATGGGTCCTGGTCCCTGACAAGCGGGCCAGAGAGGTCCGCCTGACTCCCAGAGCGTCCCCTTGCCCCAGTCTGCTGAGACCACAGGCAGAGCAGAGT